CCTTTGATGCTCCTTCTCCTCTGTGAAGCCTGAGGTCAACTAAAGGGTTAATGATAACTATCAAAACGCCTGTCATTTTATGAAAATAAATGAATAAAGTTTCATCAAATAAACCCTATTTCATGCTATTTATCACTTTTGGACATAATATTAATACTAGGAATTTCCATGCATTTGATCAAATAAAACGAATCAACACTTTAAGCAACTTGTAAGATGGCACTTTAAGCACATAAATTAATAATGCAACTGAATTCTCCTTCAACAAGGGAATACTTTTTGTAATACTCGCTAAACTTTCCCATTTCAAGTTAATTTGATGTAGAGATTTGAGGAAGGGTGAGGAGATGGCGCTGCACTGTTCAACAATTGGAAGCGAATTGGCGGTAGGCTGCATAAGGTGTCGTCGTGAACAACGACAAAGCAGAACTGAGAGAAATCAGTACCAAAAATGTAATACCGCCATCTACAAGGAAACTGTTTTAAAAAAAGAAAAAATGCATATTGTAAGGATGCAATACTACAATTCTTCTAAAGCCTCATAAAAAAATATACTGCTTCGTTGCCCCACGTGATTAGGCTTGTTAAAAGAGCGCAAAGCACAATCTAATTTACAGTATTTATTGCTTTACTTCAGGTAATGTGTAGAACAAAGAGTTGGCAATAGTACTAACCACTAGTCTAACACAGTACTTGAGTTCTGTTAGCTTTCAAATCTTCTCAATGGATGGAGAAGTCAACAGGCAAAGATTGACCTAATCTGATCAACACTCTCATTGCCTTGTTTGCTTATAAATATAATTGCAAATTCATGACCGTGTTTTGAAGTGAAAGGAATTGTTGTCACTAAAAATGGCCTGCATAGCTGATTTAGTAGAGGAGGAGGAGGAGGAGACGGGGAAGAATATCAAAATGAGGGTAAAGTTTTCTTAAGACCTTTCACACGTCTCTGCTATTACCAAATTCCCATGAAATTCGTCATTTTTTCGATGATTAGACTTACTGTTAAATAAATTTGCAAGCAGCTGCCCTTTTTTGTAGTATTCATTTCTGGCCTCATATGATGAGATTCTAGAGTTCTTATTCTATTAATTCCCAAAAAGCGAAAGTTCAGTTAGCTATCAAATCACTGTGTCTTTTAAATGACCTTTTTTCGTCCTCACATGAACTCTTTGAATTCTCAACCATATACGCTTATAGGAAATCGATTTATTACATTTTGTTCAGTCAATATCGAACTAAACTCTGTGACCTGATTTGACCCACTTTGTCGCAATGAGTGGCCAATGAAATATTTGCTTAGTCATGCTGCATTCTTAATGCGTTTAGAGTGATTTCAAATCTCATAATTCAAAGTACTTGGGTAGGATTCTGACGCATTGTAGTTTATTATAAATTTCCTATTTATGTCAAGTAGTTTTATTTCTGCTCACTTTTCTGATTAATCAAATTAATGCTCAAGCTACTTTCATTTGCAATTATTCATTAATTGGTTTGGAAAATAGATGTTCGGAGGGCCTATGGATTGGAGTAAAATCCTTCAACATTTGCAGCAGAATAATTTAACTCAACTTAACGGAAATACAACTAACGAACAGCAACCCCAACAACATCTATTTAACCCAATTCAACACTTTACGTCAGATCAACCAATTAATCCAAATCAAGGAACCACTGGAGAGGGGGCTTCGAATGGACACCCTATGCCACCCGCTGACCGGTCGAGTTTACCCCTTCCGCAACCTAATTTAGGTGATTTCCGTGTTTAACTTTTGTGACTTAAATATTATTAATTTCGATCTTTTTAACTTCTTTCATTATTTGTAATTATTACAAAAATGTGCGCGCTTCTATTCCATCTTTCCATTAGGATGGTATGTGACAAGGCCTCCACTCGCCTATACTTTTCAAAGGAATGAAGGAGCGACGGAGACGATAAATTTAGACGAACTTATTGATCCATCTTCACCAGATACTCTCCGAAGATTACCTACACCACCCCCAGCTCATATAGGTAATTTTTCTACGTTGATTACTCACTGAAATGCGCACTTACTTTCGGTCGAGTATTGCTAAACATAGCGCTGAACTGCTCCGTTTCTTCTTTCCATAGGATGTTGTGTCAAACCACCGCCCCAACATTCCACTCAAGCGCCAGATATTCCCCCACCGAGAGCAAAAGAACACCCCCCACTGGGACCGTGTCCTTTTAATAATTTTCCCCACGGCACCGGAATACTACCGGGTGTTGTACCATCGACTGAACGAGACTTGGCATATGCAAGGGAGCAACATTACATGAGTAATGTGCCATGGTTTCCACTGCCTCCTCCAGCTCACTCCACTCCACATCATCCACCGATACTGAACTTCTTCCCTCTTCGAGGTCCGCCTCCTTCTGCTCATTCAGGTCCTCCAGCCGATTTTTGAAAACTTAATGCGATTGTATATTTGGAAATTTTTAAATATAGAACTGGATAGTGGATATTACATTGCCAATTGTTCCCACGTTGTGTCTCATAACAAAATGTTAATTAGTGCACCTATAACACATAAGTTCATTTCCACCCTATTACATTAAAAGTACACTTTGAAAAAGTGAGACCTCATGTGATTGGTGCTTAACGAGTACTTCAGCAAATTATATGAATAATCTCCGCGTACTTGGAATAACCTCAGCAGTTTTTACTTCGTTTTATGGCAAAGCAACCTCCACCTTCCCCAGTTCATCGCTCTCTGAGTCTGGTGGTTCATGATGATCCAGAATACTTGAAGTGATGTTGTATTTATTTTGTGAACACACACACACAGGAATTGCTAATGTTCATTAATAGTTTTTTGTAAGTTCCATGCATTCAACTACGACGTTTTGGATAATTGAAGATAAAGAGTGCACAAATTTAAACAGGCCCCCTGCCTTCCCAGCCTCGCATAGACTAAATCAATCGACTAAATTTTCACCTCTAGTTGCCCATTCTCCTCTAACGGCTGAACAATTTACAATCAAAAAAATGAAAAACTATGCGCACATTTTACTTTCATTAATAAGGGGTGTGCGATGGACTTACCTCCACGTGGCGCACTCTGGGCAACGTACTCTCATGCGGCAAAAAAGTCTATAAACCGGCAGTTGACTTCTCACTTCAAACTACCATCACCTCACTCTATGCCATATTCGAATATTTCCACAGTACTCACCCCACGTTTTTTCTACCTTTGTGTTTGTCTCTTACATCTTTGAAACACTCTTCTGCCCCCCCCCCCCCATCGAAATTTTTCACTTTGATGTTCCTTCCCATCTTTGAAGTCTGAAGTCAACTAAAGGGCTAATGATAACCATCAGGACGCCTGCCATTTGATATAAATAAATACTTTCATTAGTAAACAATGCCGATGTTAAACACGCTGCACTATGCAATTTGTTTTTTATTAATAAATAAAAATTCCTCCGAATACTTACAAAATAAATACAATATTGAAATTGAAATAATTGAAGCTTACGGTAGGAGGTGGAGGATCCTTTGGCCTAAAATGAAGTAAAAATTGATGTCTCGCATATTTCGGAAAAAATTTTTAGAAATATTCCCTTACCCTATGGAGAATTATTTAAGGGTCATTTTGGGTTCGGATTTGGTAGCTCAATTATATTTAAGGTCAACTCGATAATTAAGTGCGTAGATAAAAAAAACAAGTTGTTTCTGGATAACAAGGAGTATGGGAAATGGAAGTTGGTGAGGAGGAATTTTTGCTCTAATGATGAATTTAATTTATGACAGGCAAAGTCTACTTCATTCAAAAATTTGAGTAATGTTCAATAATGATTCTGGAAAATCTTGCGCCATATTTAAGATTGCAATGAAATGTGGACATAGTTTCGCAATTTGGCCTTTTGAGGTGAATAAACAACAGAGTCTCCTTTACGAAACCCACATAAATGCTTCATGAATATTACCTATTGCCTATGCCATTAATTTATCATTTTTGCTTCAAGCCAATCCAATCAATTTCATTCTTGATGACTCTTTATGCACTGAATGCAATTTCTTCGTTATTCTTGAGTTGGGACTCTTTTCAAGCTGGAGCATACCTCGTTCTCGAAAACCAACCATAGAGATGGTTTCCACTCAATAGACGTCAAGCATAAAAATCGCCACGAGGATTTGCATTAGTTGGTAGATGATGATTTGGAAAGAGTACAGTTAGAACTAATTATACGACATGGTTGACTGTGAATACCTGAAGCCTGTTCCTTAGTCCAGGAGAAAGTTCATTCGAGATTTATGGCCACACTTCCTGATGGCTAACTAAGTTTCTCATCTCGATAAATCCTCATTAATGCACTTGCTTGCTACACAATTGGCCAAATTCGGTCAATATTTTCTAATTAAGTGATCGAATCTCAGTTATCGTGCATAACCTACTACCAATAAAGTCAAAGTATTACAAAGCATTTAAAGCCTATATTTTATTTCATTAAAAAAAGTGGTATAGAAACCAGTTTTACTCGTAACCATCCGACCACACATAGTCTGGATTTAAAAGTTTTTTTTCACGAAAATACACTTATTCAATACGTCAGAATTTTCATTCAGGTCGTTAAGCACATTTTATTGATTTTCGATTTCGGTTTCCATCCGTGGAAATACTCAAGTTGCTTGACTCTTCCATTAAGAAAAGACAATAAAATAGTTGAGAGATTTAACTTTCCCACAACCAGCATCCTCACATAAAACAAATCAATTGCCTTTAGTAGCACATTATGCCAAAAAAGTCCCAATTATCAAAAACATGAAGCTTACAAACAGAAATAAATAAGCACAAATTTGTGCTCACTGTATTTTCAATAAAACATAATGTCAGAGTTAAATACAGGCATTATACAATTTGTATTAATGGACATTAAAAATTAATTCGGAATGTCCACAAAATAGAAATATTTTTTTTCAAATATTCGCAACCCGTTGAAACGCCTAGAATATTCCATCAAAACATTTATCATAACTTTCAGGTAAATCCCGTACCGGTGGGTGGTGCGGTGTAGAGTGAGCTGCTGGGGGTGGAGGTCGCTTTGGCCTACAACGAAGTAAAGTTTGTTCTCTCTCATATTCTATATCCCGTCCAATAGGAGGGGGAACTCCTGGAAATATTCCTGTACCATAACGGAAATTATTAAAAGGACACGGTTGGCTTGGAGGAACTTGTTCCCTACTCAGAGGTTCGAAATTAGAAGGTTGGGAAGGTATATGTGCCTCTTCGTCGGTAGTCCTAGCTGAATATGAGAGAATGGAGAGTTAGAATTACAGGTTGAGAAATGAGTGAAACAGTTATTAATCAGAATGGAAACTAACTGGGTCGGGTAGAAGAAGGAGATGGTAAAATGTCATTGCGACTTAAGGGACGTTGTACGATTTGAGTCGGATCTGGCGACGAATCAACTGATTGTGATGGTAATGCATTGTGGACACCAGTATTACGAGGCCCATAACGATGTGAAACTTGCTCTCTCGCATATTCCGGATCCCGTTCAATAGGTGGTGGAACTCCTGGAAATATTCCTGAACCATAAGGGAAATTATTAAAAGGACAGGGTTGGCTTGGAGTAATTTGTTCTCCATTCCGAGGTTCAAAAGTAGAACGTCGAAAAGGTGTATGTGCCTCTTCGCTGGTAAGACTTGCTGAAGATGGTAAGAATCGAGAGGAATTATTACTGACAAGGAAATGAATGAAACAGTTATTAATCAGAATGGAAACTAACAGGATCGAGAAGAAGAAGAAGGAGGAGTGGATAAAGTGATGCCATTAGGTAAGAGAAGACGTATAGATGGAATCGGAATTGGCGGTGAGTCAAGTGATGGTGACGAAAATGGTCTGCTGGCATGAGAATTAAAAGGCCTTGGAGGTCCGGAATATCCATTAGGTACGTTCGGGACACTAGAGGGGGCAGGTTGACGAAGAATACGAAGATCCAGCGGTCCATGCCAAGGGTTAGGAAAAGGCGGAAATGGAAATGGAAAATAAAAAGGCACTACAAGTGTTAAAAGGACGAAATGAAAGCAAGTCAAATATTTTAAATTATGCAAGTAATATTAATACTCAAAATCCTAGAGTTCTGTGAATAACTTGAGATGTTCGTGATGATGTGCTTATGAAAAGTTGGATAACACATTTACTTGAACCATATGGTGCCTGGTAAGGCGGATAGGGGTTGAGAGAAGCCAACTCCAATGGATTGAATAGCTGATGGGGTCGGATGATGAGCACCTGATTTGGATAGGCGGAGGGTTGGTTCGGATGTGTTCGCCCTGCATAAAATATACAATACCATGAAGCGCATTGCTTTTCATTAGTAAAACAAAGGCAAATCAGAGCAGAGATTCACTACACTTTGCCCTTCTTGGTCCTGATAAATAACTGACACGAAAATGAGACAAATCACACAGCCTAGACAAGTGCGTTTCATACGGAAAATGCACGATAATCAATAAAGTCTACTTCCCTTCTCCAGGGGTGCGTGATAGACTTACCTCCACGTGGTGCTCCCTGGGCAACGTATACTCATACGGCAAAAATGTCTATTAACTGGCGATTGACTTCTGGCGCTGTGCTCATCCTACCTTTTCTCTGCCTTCATGTCTGTCTCTTTACATCTGTAAATCCCTCTTCTGTTCCCCACCCCTCGACTTTCTGTTACTTTGATGTTCCTTCCCCCTGTGAAGCCCGAAGTCAGCTAAAGGGCTAATGATAACTATCAAAACGCCTACCATTTGAAACAAATAAATATATTTCCCTTCTCCAACCTCCTCTATCTCGTGCATCTTTGGTGCCAATTATGATTTTTCCTATTTGGTGTTGGTTGGCGACTTTAGCTTAATTAAGTATCTCAATGGAAATCATTCCACTTACCCGGGCAGCTGTACACTTATAGCCACGTGGTGCACCCTGGGCAAATCGTACGGTAAAAAAGGCTATTAACTGGCAGTTGACTTCTGACTTCAAACTACCATCACCCCACTGAATGTCAAATTCGACTACTTTCACAGTACTCGCCCCACCTTTTTCCTAACTTTGTGTCTCTCCGTCTCTTAAACATCTATTCCCTCCCCCCTCAACTTTTTCCCTTTGATGTTCTTTCCCATCTATGAAGCCTGAAGTCAACTGAAGAGCTAATGATAACTATCAAAACGCCTGTCATTTGATAAAAATAAGTAAATAAAATATAAATAAATATTTGGTTTACCGTTACTATGGGGGACAAAAGTGTGTTGCTGATGTTGAGGTGGAGATTCTTGCATAGGTTCTCCACCTTGGGATGTATTTGGATTTCTATTCTCCATCAATACGACAATACGTAGTTAGGGTATTTTTTCAAAGAAATTGCAAAAATTAGTGTTATTATGATTGGTATTCAATATGAAATCACAAGTTGCGAACAAAAATCACTCAAAATTATCAAATCATTGAGACGATATGAGTCTTTATGAGAATAGATCCCCCCCCTCAAAATATCGAATTGTCACACCTCTTCTTTTTCACCCCCACTCCAAGTTCAGGGTACATTGTGGCCACTGAACTACACGCAACTGTCCAGACATATCCAAACATCGTGATTTCAAATGAACTGCCATGGTGTGTTTGCTTATTTAATCTACTATCAATTCATCAGTAGAAACGCACCTTTCACTTAGACTGCTATTTTTCTACCCAAATCTCGCTTTTCGAGCCTATTTCACTTATTTTGGACCAATTCAATGCCACAACCTGCGAGTAAACAAGATAACTGAGTTTCATTATGAAGCATAAGTATATTGAACATGCATTTTAACTGGAATAGAAAACGTGTGGATGTCATCTGATATGATCCTTCAAAAGATTCAAACGCCAAAAGAGTCATTTTACTCTTTACAAATGTTGGGATCTGCTTAATGTGAACCCAACCAGATTTCCAACTTGCATTCTCATGAATAGGACTTAATTGGAGGGTTTTCGTAATGTATTTATTTATATCAGATGGCAGGTTTTATGACAGTTATCATTGGCCCTATAGTTGACTTCAGACTTCACATAGGGAGAGGAACATCAAATCGAAAAAGAGTCGAGAGGGGAGGGTGAACAGAAGAGTGTTTTAAAGATGTAAAAGAGGCAGACACAAAGGTTGAAAAAAGGTGAGGTGAGCACTGTGGAAGAATTCGACAATGATGTACAGTGGGGTGATGGTAGTTTGAAGTGAGAAGTCAACTGCCNGATTATAGACTTTTTTTGCCGCATAAGTATGCGCTGCCCAAGGTGCCCCACGTGGAGGTAAGACTATCGCACACTCCGTTTTCATAATGTAGGGATTTCCCAACTCCCAAACCACTTCCAATAATTTTTCTCACTCCCTCTATCTCCCCCCCCCCATGTCTCCCTCTGTACAAAGAAAACTGCTCAAACTTCAACTTTTCATATGGAATTTGTTTCCATTACCTGAAATTAACGTATTCTCTTTTCGTGATATTCAACTTTAACAAAATTCATCGTTTTGACACATTTTAAGGTGAAAGAGGAGGTGGATGCATAAAGTTTTCCAGGTGATGCTAAACGTCATCATCATACATCGAGGCGAAGAGGGGTGGGGGAGTTGGCGAATGATAAACAAGTAGCCTTGGAACATGGAGTAGTTGGGATTTGGGGGAGGTGGGGGAGGGGTAATTGTGGTGCCACAGCTGCAAAAGTACGATAATATCCACCGAATAGGTCAACTGAGGTCTGGTTCGATATGAGGTGAAACACATGACCGTGATAGTAGGAGAAAATAGGAGTTCGGACAGTTGCTACATATTTGAGGCCAGGTCGCGAAAAGTTATCACCTCAGGTGTCGAATTTTCACAACTGGATGAAAAGCATAATTGTGATTCTTTTTCAAAAAATGGGAGGAGTAGTGCTGACTTGGTAGAGAATAGTGCCATTGCTATGAGAGGAAGGTGAAACTTAAGGGGGTATTCTGGTGGAGAATAAAATAAATCAATTTTTATTTATTTTTTCATATTTTAACAGTTTAACTATTTAAGAATATGTATACGAGAAGATTTTCCAAAATTCTAATTATTTTCGGAGAAATAAGTATTTTGCTGAGCAGGCATCCAAATCGGTTGGGCTGCAACAAATCGAACAAAAGACATATTGGGTTCTCCGACTAACTGAATCTATACTTATTATTTTCACAGCAATAGATTTATGGAACACCAAAACGGTCTTTTCAACATTTTCCTCATTTGTTTCGCGTACTACATACAACAACGAGATTATATTTTCAAGAACGGCTCAACGCGGACGCGGGTTCAAAATTACATTGCAATGCAGTTGCACTAGTCTACGCTACATTCCATTATGTCCATTCGTTGACAAATCCTTCAAAGTAAACCGACGAGTGATATTTGCTATGATTCTCTAAACTCGCTGATATGATTCCGGGTCTCAGATCATTAAAATTGCAACATTTATTGCTGTGTGTATTTTTGATGAAGGCTTTATACCGATATTGAAGAGGATGAAAATTGGCCCAGAAGCGCATGCGCATTTGTTGTCAAACGAGACAACACCCGGATTGACCGCTCTGAGATCAGCGCATCAAAGGAGGCCAGAACTGCTCGAATAGAAAACGAAAAAGCCGAAAATTGATTTTTCGAGGTCAACGAAGATCCGATGTATGTTGCAGGAATAACAGATTGAAGTAATTAAAAAATATAATTTTATGACTAAGACTGCAAAAAGTTTACTTGAAACTTTAAACGCGTTTTTCTCAGAACTGCCATTTTGAATCTGATACCCACGATTTCTCAGGTTCTGCTGAACCGATTTACTTGAAATTTTAAGAGAGTCTTCTTTAGGGACTCGTCTCTGTCCGGAACTACGGCCATTCCCAAATTTTATTTTTACTATTTTTAAAAAATCGAAGAATGTCCAAAAGAGTAGTACAATTTTTTTTCTTTAGGCAGTTGCCATTTTTTAAGAAAAAAATTTTGTGACCTTTCCCCAGTTCCAGACAATGCGAAATTATTGTAGATTGATAATCTTTTTTATTATTTGATTACAGATTGCTAGGAGAGTTAAAATCGTGGGTATGGTCAAGTACCCAATTTTTGAGACGTCCCATTCCAGCAGCTGATAACTAACGGAATATTTAATTTATTATTTTTTCTAATGTGAATAAAAAATGCATAAAAAATTTATAATAAAAATATTTCTAGCTTTTTTTACAGCACTTCAAAATTTACCTAAAATTCATGTCTCTAGACCATTTTTAGAAGCAAAATTATATAATTGGCGCTTATTTATGCTGGAATTTCAGATCGTCCGTTCTTCAGACGCCAACCTCAATGAGTTTCATGGACCGTACAACGTTGAGAAACAATCTTATTTTTGAATCTTATTTACACGAAACTGTCCATTTTGCTCAGCTTATTTCGTCCAGAAAAGGCTGGCAGTAGAGCTCAAGGTGTTCTGTCTTTATGCGCATCGAAATCCCATCACTTCGAAAGTGAACGAAACTGACATTTGCGATTCAAATTTACTTTCATAACAGAAATATTGGTTGTTCTAGTTGAGCTCAAATGAATAAAATTATTCACTTTGTTCGGAAGACTTATCTCCCAGACACAAATAGCGATTTGTCAACATTGAGGCAAATGAGTGTATAATTTAATCTGGACTCACAGAATGAGACTCAATGATTCTGCTGTTTCCAAATATCCGCAAAAAAGTTTATTAAACCGGATACTGTCTATAATTTCTATTTAAAACCAATACAATTTTGATGAAGTATTCGATTGAAACGAGACTGGAATTAATCTCTACCAATCAGTAGTTAAAACGCAGGTTAATTAGGTGGTAGAGAAGGAAATTTCCAACTAGAATGAGGTGAAAATTATGTCACACCTGTGATTACTCATTCCACTGTTCACCTCGTTAACCCAATTGCTTAGTCGTGTATTTATTGGACTGTCCCAAATATACTTAAAGTGCCCAACAAATCACAGTTTGTAGTAAAACCATTTTAACTACACTTCTCCATCTTGACTACTGCCATTGTTTCGCTCATCAGATGTCGCTAAGTGTCCACTTTCCTGTGCTATGTAGAGCATTGATGGAAGGAAAAGACTCCTCTCATTCGGATGACCAGGGAGGTAGTGAAACGAGCACCCAAACGAGCTCTCCGGATTCCCATTCATGTAACTCTTCATCAAATGGATCGAAAGCCCCTTCAAATGAAGGACTCACGAGAGAGGAGAATTTCAACTTAGAAAGAGATCAAGTTGTAGATCTAAGTAAAGGTCATGAGTGTGGAAATCAAGTGGGGTTTTCAAATCAACAGACCCAGCCGACGCAGCAACAGCAACCACAATTTGCCTCTCATAATCCCTCACCTGGCAACTCGAATGGAGGAGTGGTGGAGGAGAAGGAGAGGAACTACAGTTCTACAAAAAGTCAAAGCGGTGGTCAATTAATAATTCAAAGCCAACAACAAGATTCACCGCAATTCACCCCTACTAATACTACCACTTCTTCTACCACTAATCCCATCTCCGGATCTTCTATTTCTGGATTTTCAACAGGTAATAGTCGTAATGTAATATATACTCACCTCTTTCTTTTCTATCCCAGAATGTCAGAATTCTGCGACAAATCAACCACTTGCTCATTCCAATGGGAACAACGGCGTTCCCGTCCAAGATACTCCCTTGGACTTGAGTACTCATCGAAAGCCCCCTCTCACTCCAAAGGAAACATATTCACATCTCATAAATGGCTAAATTGGATTTGAGGATTTATCCAAAGGATTAATATTTATACCTCATTAATTAAAGAAATAAATATTTATATGCTTATTTACATATAACCGTGACTTTACGACTTCTAATGAATTGCCAAATGGGTGAGTTTGTGTGACGATTTCATTGGAATTAGTGAAGAATGACTGCAACAAATGAGTAAATGAATTGTTAAATAACTAATTAATAGGAGGTTTCACTTGCGCTTTTAACCAACGTATTAGTCTTAGAACACCCAGAGATTATGCAAATACGGAAGGTCACGTTTGGGTAGGTCAACTCTCTGTGTTGCCAATTCTTTCAAGTGGGAAGTGGGTTGGAAGGTGACCCACTTTCTTTCATGCACCAGCGGATTTCGTTTCGAGTAGGTTAATGGGCTTTGGCTACACACATTGCTTGATAATCGCAATTTGAAGTAAATGATTCTGCTGAATTTCATTCAAGATTTGAATAGGTTCACTTTTATTATCACAGAACAGATCTGAACAGAGACCTACAATTGAGCAAGAATAATCTCTACTAAATGAATTTGTTTGTTGACATTCTAAAGGTTGCTATGAAGCATGCCATGTGATAGAGCAGATTTGAAAGGCAACAACATGTACCATGACCCGTTCTCGCTGTTGTCAAAGTTTCTTTCAACCTACTGTTGTGGCAAAATGAGTTGCAATAGTTGGCAGCTAATAGGGTTATTTGTCTTAGATATTAACAAAATGCCATTTACCACCGTTTTGTAATAAGGACATTGTGATCAAGTTCGTAGATAGGGAAAGGTGATTCCGTTCAAAGTGAAGTAAGGGAAATTGAATTTGTTAGGGGAGAAATTTCTCCCTATCCAAGAATTTTGGCATGATTGATGAAATTCAAAAGTATTTTGGAGTGACGAAGTCTGTGGACACAAGGGCACATTACTTACCATACTTCACTCAATCTTCCGAAGTGAAAGCATTTGAGGCAGAGAGGTCATGGAGCAAAGTTCAATCATGCTTCTTCCAAACCTTACGCGACTGGGAAGACTGTGATCAAATGGGGGCATGTGAGCTCAACACCGAAGACCTCCCAAATCCCCACCCCACACCAAACCCAATTTCATGAACCACATGGAGAGTTCACGAATACTGCATATTACCAATGCCTGAAATTTATCACCATCATTCACTGAATGCAATTTCTTCGTCATTGGCATGTCGGGACTCTTTTCATGTTGAATTATTCCTCGTTCACTTGGTAGATGATGAAGAAAGGAAGATGGAACTTATTGCGCAGCAGGGTTGACAGTGAATGTCTGACACTCGGTTATTTCTCCAGCAGTAAGCTCGCTCGAGATCTTTGGCGACATTTCCCGATGTCTAACTCCCTTTGGCTTCGCAATCAATGCTCATTAAGGCCTATTCATTTACGCCGTCAAATTTGATTAATTTTAACTTATAAGGGGCTCACTTAAAATTTCGCTGACCCTAACTTCTGAAAACGCAACCTCCCACCCCACCCCACACAACCCCATCCTCCTCACCTTAACCCCCTCCACTTGTCACCCCAAACTAAGTGTATGAGTAATAAGGCTTATTTACTTTTCTTAATTTCAGCTTATTGCCAACTTCTTGTGCCTTGTCACAATCACGATATGGGTAATTAGTGCTCCTCCATTTGTGTTGATGTCATCGAATTCTTCAGTCACTCTGACTTCGAGACATTACTTTCCTACTCGGGGGTGAAATTCTGCTTTCCTTACGAAATAAGTGCCAAGACAACTCTTGAAGAAGTGGCACAACAATTTGCAGTCCAGTGAAATCAAACAAAATGGTCTGATTCCAGCGAGTAGAAGAAGGAAACGTGAAGTGAGAAGAGTGTCCTCTCCTAACAGCTACACAACTTATAAACAGGAAATTGAATATATATGTGTAATTTATAGTATGAATTTTACATCATATAAAATTCAAATGCATGCGCCATACAATTTAGTTTAGAAAACATAAAAATAATTAATCCGAATATCTATAAAATTGAAATAATATCAATACATAATCTTGTAATGCAAAGAATAATTCGTAAGCATGTGAAGATTACGGATTCGGTGGGTGATGTGGAGTGAAATCAAACAAAATGGTGTGCGTCCAGCGAGCAGAAGAAGGAAACGTGAAGTGAGAAGAGTGTCCTCTCCTAACAGCTGCACAACTTATAAACAGAAAACTGAATAAATATGTGAACTTTATAGTATGAATTTTTCCCTAATACAAAAATTAAATTCATGCACCATACAATTTAGTTTAGAAAACATTAAAAAAGCATAAATCCTTGAGATGCTTACGGATTCGATGGGAGGAGGTGGACGACGCTTTGGCCCATTATGAAGTAACAATTGTTCTCTCGCAATTTTATCGTTTTAGGTACTAATTGTCCGTCCAAATTATATTTAGGGCCTGTATTCAGTCAACGAGATCTGCCTAAAATAGAATTATAAGCTCTTCGGATAATTGGAAATATTGAAGTAGAGTAGGAACTCATAATGTGAGTCAGGTTAAATTAAAAGCAATCATTTGCCTCAAGTTTGACATGTTACTATTTGTATTTGCGAGGTCCGTCTTCTGATTAAATCGTAATAAGCATTATATGAAATCATGAATGGATGAAGTACGTTGAAGCACTTCAAGTTAATAAAACTACTTCGAGGATGGCTTTTCCCAATTAAATTGGAGCTTAAGATGAATGTGTGCCAAAGTTTAATATCACAAATATTCGAAACGCTCATTTCAGGTTATAAGGGAAAGTATTGCATTTTAGATGTGACTCCACCTCGCATTCAATGCCTAAATTCCAGCATTATTGGTGAGGTCATTACCATCACTCGAGAGTTTAGATAGCGTCCACCTTGTGGGCGGATAAGTTGACGGCAGCGGATAAGGAAAGAAGCCCGTTGCTACTTCATAATTGTAAGTAGAATAACTAGAAAAACATGTACTATACGAGAGGTATACACCGACAACACGCAGTCACCCACAAGGAAATCATCAGAAAGCATAAAATTGTCATGTATACATTTATATGTGAGGGTCTGTGTTTGCACACATTTAATTGATGTATTTTGACAATCGTTTACTTGGGGAATAAAGTGGAGCATTAGCTGAAGGTAGAAAGTGGCGTTGATTAGCACCACTATTGGTGGTCTGATTTGAGTGAATACTCAAATCCAATGGTGCATCTTGTTCTTCAAAAACAGTCTGGGACACGTGCTGTGACACCGTGTTGAAAGTGTCGAATTTCGAACAAGCAGGTTCTTCGAAGGTGGTGTTGAATAATAGAGAGCTCAGTGCAGATGGCTCACGATTCTTCCAACTACAAGAATATTCCATTGGCTTCCATAAACCACAATCTGGTCTGCCCATCACGCCTCCGTTCGAATGAGCACCAGGAGGAAATGGCGATGGAGACAGATATTGAGGCGGCTCACATCTGTACCATGCTGGCGAAGAGAAGAAGGCAAGAGGTGAGGAGAGAATGAAAAGTTCGAGAACATTAAACAGGTAATGACCACAACTGGTGAGGTGAATGAACACTTTAGTGTGTACGTGAACATATTGAGGATGCTTGTAACAAATTTGCTTAAAGTATTTGAGAGTTAATAATCAAAGATGATACCAACATGATCGAGATGGTGGAGGAGGCAAATTCACACGACAACTTGGAGTAGAGTTAGCATCGTCCTTCACTCCATGGCCCAATTGGAATTCGAGTGGATTGGACACACGCCATCCTGATTGAGCGTGGTGCCCAGTAATCGAATTTGCATTCGACTGAGGCAAGCTCGACTGTCGCATGTCGTGGTGAAGTTTTCCCGAAAGTGGAGGCATCTGTGGTATAGAAATTGGTCAAAATCGGTCTAAAATGAAGAAATAAGAAACGGTAAAGTGAATGTCTTGAAGAGTACCTTTTTCTGATGCAGATGAAATGCGAAGGAGGTGGAGGTATCAAAAAAATACAGAAAGAAGAGTTTGAAAAAGAGCTTGCTATATATACTCGTAAGGAACTTCAGAATTGATCGGTCAATGACTAATGGGTGGGGTGTGGTGAGGGGGGATTGGTTGCATGGGACCAGAGGTGGTTGGTGATGCGGAGAGATGTGGGGGTGGGGGGGGGGGGGGGGGGGGGNGGGGGGAGGGTGGGATTATGAACCATAATAAAAGAATGAGAGATTGTATCAATACTCGTTAACCTGATAAGGAGAGTCGGGTCTGATGGATAAGTGAGGTCAGTTGAGTGAGGTTTAGTCACCAAAATGATGTAAACAACCTCGAAATCTCCACATATGATTAAACTAAGGTTTTCATGCTGAAGTTGGAGTAGAGTTGTGAATAGAAGGGAGTGGGACAAAGTGCGCTAAATTAACCTTCATTCAAAGGGAGAATTTCTTCCGATAGGGAAACACTGAATCAGGGATCGAAACTACACCATTAATAACATTGACAATACAAGATTCAACAACCCCACTTCGTTTTATTATGAGACCGGAACATATCAAAACTGCATTTTAACTAGCGTAGAGAATCGTTCGATGTGGTCCCATTGATGTTACCCAAGCTAGGATTGCCGAAAGAATCATTCTGCTAATTTCAATTACATAATTTGGAAAGCCATCCATGTGAACATTTCTAAAATTATTTCTTTATGACATTCCCATGAATAGGCGACAAAAGTGTGGTGCTGATGTTGAAGTGGAGATTCTTGCATAGGTTCTCCACCTTGGGATGTATTTGGATTTCTATTCTCCATCAATACGACAATACGTAGTTAGGGTATTTTTCCAAAGAAATCGCAAACATTAGTGTTACTAGGATTGGTATTCAATATGAAATCACAAGTTGCGAACAAAAATCACTCAAAATTATCAAATCATTGAGACGATATGAGTCTTTATGAGAATAGTTCCCCCCCTCAAAATATCGAATTGTCACACCTCTTCTTTTTCACCCCCACTCCAAGTTCAGGGTACATTGTGGCCACTGAACTACACGCAACTGTCCAGACATATCCAAACATCGTGATTTCAAATGAACTGCCATGGTGTGTTTGCTTATTTAATCTACTATCAACTCATCAGTAGAAACGCACCTTTCACTTAGACGGCTATTTTTCTACCCAAATCTCGCTTTTCGAGCCTATTTCACTTATTTTGGACCAATTCAATGCCACAACCTGCGAGTAAACAAGATAAATGAGTTTCATTATGAAGCATAAGTATATTGAACATGCATTTTAACTGGAATAGAAAACGTGTGGATGTCATCTGATATGATCCTTCAAAAGATTCAAACGCCAAAATGTTGGGATCTGCTTAATGTGAGCCCAACCAGATTTCCAGCTTGCATTCTCATGAATAGGTCTTAATTGGAGGGTTTTCATAATGTATTTATTTATATCAAATGGCAGGCTTTATGATAGTTATTATTAGCCCATTAATTGAATTCAGACTTCATAGAGGGAGAGGAACATCAAATCGAAAAAAAATCGAGAGGGGAGGGTGAACAGAAGAGTGTTTTAAAGATGTAAAAGAGGCAGACACAAAGGTTGAAAAAAGGTGAGGTGAGCACTGTGGAAGAAGTCGACAATGATGTACAGTGGGGTGATGGTAGTTTGAAGTGAGAAGTCAACTGCCAGATTATAGACTTTTTTTGCCGCATAAGTATGCGCTGCCCAAGGTGCCCCACGTGGAGGTAAGACTATCGCACACTCCGTTTTCATAATGTAGGGATTTCCCAACTCCCAAACCACTTCCAATAATTTTTCTCACTCCCTCTATCTCCCCCCCCCATGTCTCCCTCTGTACAAAGAAAACTGCTCAAACTTCAACTTTTCATGTGGAATTTGTTTCCATTACCTGAAATTAACGTATTCTCTTTTCGTGATATTCAACTTTAACAAAATTCATCGTTTTGACACATTTTAAGGTGAAAGAGGAGGTGGATGCATAAAGTTTTCCAGGTGATGCTAAACGTCATCATCATACATCGAGGCGAAGAGGGGTGGGGGAGTTGGCGAATGATAAACAAGTAGCCTTGGAACATGGAGTAGTTGGGATTTGGGGGAGGTGGGGGAGGGGTAATTGTGGTGCCACAGCTGCAAAAGTACGATAATATCCACCGAATAGGTCAACTGAGGTCTGGTTCGATATGAGGTGAAACACATGACCGTGATAGTAGGACAAAATAGGAGTTAGGACATTTGCTACATATTTGAGCCTAGTTCTCGAAAATTATCATCTAAGGCGACGAATTTTCCCAACTGGATTCCCACAGCTGGTGATTCACATGCTCGAACGGAAGAAGTTTGTTTACTCATTATACCGTTCACCCCGTTTGTCCAATTGCTTAGTCGAGTATTTACGTTGGATCCTCGACTTATACTTAAAGTGACCCACAAATCACGCTTTGTAGCAAAACCATTCTAACTACACTACCCCATCTTGACTACTCCAATTTTTTTGCTCACCAGATGTTGGTAGGTAACCAGTTTCCTTTGCTTTGCGAAGATTTGATGGAAGGACCCGCCTCCTCTCTTCCGGATGACTATCGAGCCATTGATACGAGCGCCCTAACGTGCACTCCAATTTCCCTTTCAAGTATCTTTTCATCTTATCAATCGAATGCAGATTCAAACGAATTATTCGTGGGAGTGGAGAATTTCAAATCTGCAGGATATCTAGCCAAGTGGCTCCTTTGGACTTGAGTTTCCATCCAAAGCTCACTCCCATTGATGTTTCCCTTCCTTCATCTGAAGCTTCGAAATATTTAAAACTCATTAATTAAAGAAATAAATATTTATATGCTTATTTACATATAACCGTGACTTTACGACTTCTAATGAATTGCCAAATGGGTGAGTTTGTGTGACGATTTCATTGGAATTAGTGAAGAATGACTGCAACAAATGAGTAAATGAATTGTTAAATAACTAATTAATAGGAGGTTTCACTTGCGCTTTTAACCAAGGTATCAGTCTTAGAACACACAAGGATTATGCAAATACGGAAGGTCACGTTTGGGTAGGTCAACTCTCTGTGTTGCCAATTCTTTCAAGTGGGAAGTGGGTTGGAAGGTGACCCACTTTCTTTCATGCACCAGCGGATTTCGTTTCGAGTAGGTTAATGGGCTTTGGCTACACACATTGCTTGACAGTCGCAATTTGAGATAAAGGAATCTGCTGAATTTCATTCAAGATTTGAATAGGTTCACTTTTATTATCACAGAACAGATCTGAACAGAGACCTACAATTGAGCAAGAATAATCTCTACTAAATGAATTTGTTTGTTGACATTCTAAAGGTTGCTATGAAGCATGCCATGTGATAGAGCAGATTTGAAAGGCAACAACATGTACCATGACCCGTTCTCGCTGTTGTCAAAGTTTCTTTCAACCTACTGTTGTGGCAAAATGAGTTGCAATAGTTGGCAGCTAATAGGGTTAGTTGTCTTAAATATTAAAAAATGCCATTTATCACCGTTTTGTAATTAAGACATTGTGATCAAGTTGATAGATAGGGAAAGGTGATTCCGTTCAAAGTGGAGTAAGGGAAATGGAATTTTGAAGGGAGAAATTTCTCCATATCCAAGAATTTTGACATAAATGATGAAATTCAAAAGTATTTTGGAGTGACGAAGCTTGTGGACATAAGGGGACAGTGAATGTCTGACATTCGGTTATTTCTCCAGCAGTGAGTTCGCTCGAGACCTTTGGCGACATTTCCTGATGTCTAACTCCCTTACGCTTCGCGAACAACGCTCATTAACGCCCATTCATTTACGCCGTCAAATTTGATTAATTTTAATTTTTAAAGGGCTCGCTTCACATTTCTCTGACCCATACTTTCTGAAAACGCAACCTCCCACCCCATTCCACCCTACCCCATCCTCCTCACCTTAACCCCCTCTACTTGTCACCCCAAACTAAGTGTACGAGTAATAAGGCTTATTTACTTTTCTTAATTTCAGCTTATTGCCAACTTCTTGTGCCTTGTCACAATCACGATAGGGGCAATTAGTGCTCCTCCATTTGTGTTGATGCCATCGAATTCTTCAGTCACTCCGATTTCGAGACATTACTTCCCTACCCGGGGTGACATCTGCTTTCCTTTCGAAATAGATGTCAAGACAACTGTTGAAGAAGTGGCACAACAATTTGCAGTCCAGTGAAATCAAACAAAATGGTCTGATTCCAGCGAGTAGAAGAAGGAAACGTGAAGTGAGAAGAGTGTCCTCTCCTAACAGCTACACAACTTATAAACAGGAAATTGAATATATATGTGTAATTTATAGTATGAATTTTACATCATATAAAATTCAAATGCATGCGCCATACAATTTTGTTTAGAAAACTTAAAAATAATTAATCCGAATATCTATAAAATTGAAATAATATCAATACATAATCTTGTAATGCAAAGAATAATTCGTAAGCATGTGAAGATTACGGATTCGGTGGGTGATGTGGAGTCATCTGAGTTGGAGGAAATGGAGGACGCTGTGGCCCATAACGGAGTAAAAATTGTTCTTCAGCATATTCCAGATCCTGCCTAATAGGAGGTGGAACTCCTGGAAATATTCCTGCACCATAAGGGAAATTATTAAAATGACTCGGTTGGCTTGGAGGAACTTGTTCTCTACTCAGAGGTTCGAAAGTAGAAGTTTGTGAAGGTATATGTGTC